TGAGAAATAGGTGGGGATAGCGATGCCCGTCCAATGGAGCCATGCACAGTACTTCAGTAGGCAGTGAGGAATGGAAGGAGAAGGTAGTGTTGTAGTTGACTCGTCCACTGCATCAGTTGAAAATGAACCCTGCTATAGAAAATCCCTCCAAAGGTGAAGTGTGTGCAGTAATACGATTCCTGTGTGTGAAAAAACTGCCAGCAGCTGCGATTCATCATGAACTGTGTAATGTTTATGGAGCAAATGTGATGAGTGAGGGCGTCGTACGTCAATGGTGTCACATGTTTAAAGATGGACGAACTGACGTCCACGATGAGGCAAGAAGTGGCCACCCATCTGTAGTCAGCAATGAACTCATGCAGAAAATTGACAAAAAGGTCCATGGAGTACATTGGTTCATGACATTTCTTTACCCTTTCCCCAAATTTCTCAGACTGTTTTGTATGAGGTAGTGAAGGACAATTTGGGATATCGCAAGTTCTGTTCTTGTTGGGTACCAAAACTCCTTTCTGAGGAGCACAAAACACACCAAATGGGTTCACGATGCTGTTACACGGTGGCTTCATTCCCAGGCGGGAGATTTTTTTGCAGAAGGAATTTCAATCCTTGTAAGATGTTACGATAAGGGCCTCAATTTGAATGACGATTATGTCAAAAAGTAATGTAATGTTGTATTTTTCTAATCTGTATAATAAAAGTTCTGTATCTGCACGTGTCTGTCATGGATAACCAAATGGAGGTTTATTTCCGAATTGCCCTCATATGTTCTTGTTGCAAATTGGAAGACTAGCAGATTTCATCCAAGCAAGACAATGAGCTGAAAAATCAGCAGGCAGTATAGCTGACAGATATCCAAGTGCCATTTCTGTCTGAAAAGTCTAAACAGACAGAGCCTGGAGCACCATGGGATCCACCATGGGAGCATTAGAGACCTCGTGGATCACCCCATCCAGCTGAGCTGATGGGTGCAATTCCATTCCTTGAATAATCCACAAGGATAATACCGAAGGACAGGTAGATGGCATAGCAGAACACTAAAGTCCCCTGCAAGAATATCTACATGATGTAACTTCACACTGTTTCATTGCTCATTTCCCCCTCTGGCATAGATGCGGTTCCTGATGAAAAGCCACTCATTTCTGCGAGAATCGATGCCCCCTCTTCTCCATGCCAGGGACCACGTTGGTGAGTTTGACTTGGAGGCCCTTAGTGATGATTATGATGGCTGTAAGTTGTCCCCAGAGTCCCCAAACTGATTTTCCACCAATGGCAGCATTTTAGTTGTAGCATAAGCTAGTCATCCAACCATTGGCCTCCACTTACTAATCACAGACTTTCTCAACTTATGACTGCTGAGGAACTATTGGATTACATTTTCCATTTTCCTGTCAGTGATTGGGTCATGTTAGATGTTGTAAGTAGATTTTAGGTATATCAAAATGCTAAGAATAGTTATATGGATGCAAAGCAAAGGAAACCTCTTGCTTGGATCAAGTACACTTCCCCACATCCCTCACCAAATCACAGTTTCTCCTACTTGCCAGACTTCATTTTCCACGAAGAGGTGCAAAACATGGGAGATTTATTTATTTATCTATTTATTTATTTTTCTTATTAGGATACAAAGCAGAATTCTGCATCCTGTATCATACCTTAACTATAGTGGGTTTTGAGGCTACTTTTTGTAGATAAGTATCTTGATAAGAAGGGCCGTGGTTAGAATGCCATATTGCAGGATAATTCTGCCAACTGCTAGAAGTTCGATTGTCACTGGCTCAAGGTTGACCTTCCATCATTCCAAGGTCAGCAAAATGAAAACCCAGATTGTTGGGGGGGCAATATGCTGACTCTGTAAACTGCTTAGAGAGGCTGCAAAACATTGTGAAGCAGTATATAAGTCTAAGTGCTACTGCTACTGCTATCATCACGTACACATAAAGCTCTGCATTCCTCCTGCTGAAACGGTATGCAGAGATAAGATGTCTCCACTTGAGCATCATGTGTGCTCCAGGGCAACTATTTCTTCAGTGTACAACACAAACTGCTGTCTCGGTACTTGTCCCTGTGTACTTTCAATAGTTCCTTTGCTTCTTTCTTCCACTTCAGGGAAGATAAGCCCTCCTGAATTATCAACGTACTTGTATTTTCTTTTCTGTCCTACTTTGATCTACAGAAAGAGCTATCCAAGGTAATTCCTAGCATATCATCCTTGTATTTTTGGGCTGCTTGGTTTCTCAGCTGTATCAGAAAAAGAGTGGGCAAAACAAGCTTCAGTGTCTACAGCCCATGCCCCTAGAGCAATGGTGTAACCATTGTATTTCCCAAGAAAAGGGAACTGCACCCTTATCACATCTCAACCCAATCCCTACTCCTTTCCTTATAGAGATCCATACATCCGCTGGAGTTACGTCATCCAAAAATTGGTTGAGGTGAGTAAAACACATTAAGTTTCCATTGGCTGGTTGGTTTTATCTGGCCTCTTTATGGATTAGAAAAGTGCTTGGAGACTATTGGATTTTCCCACAAGACTGAGCTAAACTGGGAACCCTAAGGTATCTTAGGTGGCCAAGGTAGTAAATAGCAATAACACTTTAAGAAACCCTGAGTCATTAAAGGCCACCATTTAAATTTCCCAGAGTTCTCTAGCCTTGAGTGAATTATAACATTTGTCCTGAGTCATGTTTGATGCAAAAAAGTTCACTGCCCCTTAGAGATGTTTGATGCAAAAAAGTTCACTGCCCCTTAGAGATGTACAATTTAAAACTTTAGACACAATGTACATATTTTCAAACATCTCCCAAAAGAAAACAAAAGGAAAAAGGGTTTGAAAGAGAGTAGAGTTAATGGAACTTAGAGCCACTCAGCAAGTGAGTGGTGCAGAAATCTATGACAGGTTGACTAAAACTAAAGAAAAGGGAGGACAGCATTTGGGCATTGTAGGAGATTAAAATGGCAGCCAAATCCAGCTTCTGAAACCATAGATGAGAAGAAGGTTGTTCTTAGTCGTAGCCATGGCAACCAGTATGCCTTTCCAGAACACTGAGATGCCAGTGGATCACTAAGGTAGTATTTTTTCTCTGTGTCCCACAGTTCCTGTCGAGTATATATTTTGTGAATTTCCTTATGAAATACTCCTTCATCCCTATGTTCAAAAACATGCATAAGCAGCCCTTCACCATCAAAATCCTGCTACTTTCCATCTTTGATTCAGTAGTACCTGGTATGTGGAAACAATTATTATTTTATTTGTGTAATGGGATTACAGGATAAGGCTGATTTATCACATTTTAGAGAAAGTGAAGACGTACAACAGGTAGTTCTCAACTGACAACCATTTGTTTAGTGACCTTCAAAGATACCACAGCACTGAAAAAAGTGACTTATAACCATTTTTCACACTCATGGCTGTTGCAGCATCCCCTATGCTCATGTGATCAAAATACACGCCATAAATACTGGCATGTATTTATGAAAGTTGCAGTGCTCCAGAGGGTGCCACGATCACCTTTTGCATCCTTCTGACCAGCAAAATCAATAGGGAAACCAGATTCACTTAACCACTGGGTTGCTAACTTAACAACTGCAATGATTCACTCAAGAAGTGGCAGGAAAAGTCATAAAATGGGGCAAAACCCAACTGTCTCACTTAGCAAAAGAAATTTTGGGTTCAATTGTGATCATAAGTCCAGGAATACCTAAAGCAACTAAGTGATACACTGTAAGCCATGTTGAATTGCTTTGGGTTGCAAGATGGGCATCATATAAATTTAATAAATAAATAAATTGTTACCTCATCCCACAGCCCAAGATATAGATGATTTTGGACTATATGTAGCACCCACAGAAAATGATGAGGTAGATCTGGCAGTCTGCTAGTTTTATTCATGATGAAAGTATGTGAAATAGAACAAATGTCCAGCAAAGAAGTCTTTATGAATTCATTGTTGGATGATTCTGTTTCCTGTAAAAGGGCTTTAGCAACCGGTAGATACTTATTCTTTTCTTCTGCTTTTGCCTCAATTATTCTCCAAGTGCAATAGTTGATGTTAAGAAAGATTACAAGAGTAGTAAAAAGAACAAAAAGAAGAAAAATATATTAGCAAAATCGTTCTTTGACATGGTAACAGAACTCAACCTTCAGGATATATGGAGAGAGACACACAGGTTAGATAAACAATATACATTCTATTCATATCCACATCAATCTTGGTCTAGGATTGATATGGCCTGGGCAACAACAGAAGTATTAACTGGGATAGAGAAAATTGAAATAGGGCCTAATGATTGGGCGGATCACAACCCAATAATAATAAAATGGAAAGGCCAAAAACAGAGGAAAAGATGGACAATGAATCAAAGACTGTGTAAAGATAAGAAATACATACAGATGTTAGAAAAGGAGTTGACATTATTTTTTCAGGTAAATAAAAAGGAAGAGACATCAACACAAAACTTGTGGGA